GGGGGGGGGGGGGGGGGGGGGGGGGGAAGCGGCTGACGCGCAGCACCAGCAGCAGCAGCACCAGCAGCAGCAGCAGCACGGGCACGGGGGCGAACACGGGCAACAGCAGGGCCAGCCGGAACTGCAGCACACGCTGCAGCACAGAATGCAGCAGCAGCAGCAGCAGCAGCAGCAGCAGCAGCAGCAGCAAAAGGGGGAAAAGGAGAAGAACAAACAAAGCAAAACGGCCAAGACTAATAAAGGCCAGCAGGAAGCTGCGAAGGACGCGAGCCACAAAAAGAAAAAGTAAGGACACAAAACTGTGAAGCAGCAGCAGCAGCAGCAGCAGCAGCAGCTGCTGCAGCAGCACGTGCTGCTGCTGCTGTCGCTGGAGCAGCTGCTGCGCCTGCTGCTGCGCGATATCAGGCAGCACTTGCAGAGAGAAGGGCAGCAGCAACAGCGTTCGCAGCGGCTGCAGCAGCAGCTGCTGCTGCTGCAGGCTGCAGCAGCAAACACAGCAGCTGCTCATACAGCAGCTGCTGCAGCTGCTGCTGCAGCTGCTGTTCGTGCAGCAGCGGTATCCACAGCAGCACAGACTGCAGCAGCAGCTGCTGCAGCTGCTGCAGCTGCTGCTCATGCAGCAGCGGCATCCACAGCAGCACAGACTGCAGCAGCTGCTGCTGCAGCTGCTGCTCGTGCAGCAGCGGTATCCACAGCAGCACAGACTGCAGCAGCAGCTGCTGCAGCTGCTGCTCATGCAGCAGCGGCATCCACAGCAGCACAGACTGCAGCAGCTGCTGCTGCAGCAACAGACGCAATGTCTAGTTCCTTTCGATTTGAAGAATACAGTAGAAGCTCTCAGAGGATGCAGGTTGCTGCTTTTGCTGCTGCTGCTGCTGCTGCTGCTGCTGCTGCTGCTGCTGCTGCTATTCTTGGTACAGCTGCAACACTTCTAGCAGCTAGGCTGTGGATAGGTTTTGTCTGCTGCAGCAGTTGTTGCTGCTGCAGTTGCTGCTACTGAAGTTGCTGCTGCCGCAGCTGCTCTTGCTGCAGTTGTTGCTGCTGCAGTAGATCCTGCTGCAGTTGTGCTGCCCTGCTGCTGCTCTAACCTTGCTGCTCTTACGGTTGCTGCTCTTACGGTTGCTGCTGCTGTATTTGCTGCTGCTGCAGTTGCTGCTGCTGCACTTCCTGCTGCCGCAGCAGCTGCTGCAGCAGCAGCTGCTGCTGCTGCCTTCTTGCTGCTGCGCTGCCCACTCTCTACATAATGACCCTGAAAAGATCTGGGCCATATAACTATAAGCAGCAAATCTGTTTCATTTTTATTATTTATTTATTTATTTATTTATTTATTTATTTATTTATTTATTATTATTTATTTATTTATTATTATTTAGTTATTTATTTATTAGTCTGTTTATTTATCTTTATTTATATTTTTTTATTTTTATTTATGCATCTTTTGCTGCCATTATGGAGGTGTCTGCGTGGAGTTCCTTTTCAATTCGTTTTCGCTTGTTTTATTTTCTTTTTGTTTCCTTTTATTTAAATAAATTAATTCAATTTAATTAATCAATTTAATTTATTTAATTTAATTTAATTTAATTAATTTAATTTAATTTATTTAATTTATTTAATTTGCTGCTGCCAAATGGGCTGCAGCGCCGCTCGGGCGCAGCTCTGCTCTGCCGCTCTGTCTTCGCTTTTCTTCATTTTGGGGTTTATTTGGGGCATTTTTGTTTAATTTTAAATCTTTTGGTTTTTAATTTTATTTATTTTTAATTATTTGCATTTATTTGCATTTATTTGACTCCTTTTGCGTTCATTTCTTCCATTTATTTGCAAATTCGCCGCGCGCGCGCCGCCGCGCGCGGCGCTCGCCACCGCGCCGCTCAGTTTCGCGGGGCGAAACTTCGCTTGAATTCGAATAAAAATGAGAAATTAAAAACAAAAAGAAAAAACAAAAAAGAAATAAAATAAAAATGATTTTAAATTTTAAAATAATAAACAAAAAAGGAAACAAAATGATCCATTTAAACCAGAGTTGAAGTGCCGCCGCCCTCGCCCCAGCAAGTGATGTCTCGAGTGCAAATTGCAAGACAAAATAAATATTCTGGTCTGTTTTTTGCAATTCTTGGATTTATATTCGCCAATTAATGCATTTTTATTCATTAAAATGAATAATTGCATTTATAAAACATATTTAAAACTTCATTGGCGCATTTATTTGCGAAACTGCTGAACTCCGGCACTCGGGTGTATGTACACCCAGCTGCAGCACCACTCCACCTCCTGATCTCTTTATAATTATTTGCATTTAAAACACTTTTAGAACTCCTTTAGACTCCCTTTGCAATTATAAATTACAATAAATTAATAATAATTTCATTTCAAATCAAAAAAACTTCCAAAATAAACTTCCAATTCCCTTCCAGCTTCCACTTCCGAACTTCACACTCAAAAGCGGAAACGCCAAAGACGAAAAGCACCCGAATGCTTTCTTCTTTGCCCTTCACCATTTATGTCTTAATTACCAATTAAATAATTAATTAATTTATTTATTATTTATTTATTTATTTATTTATTTATTTGTCCTCCTATTTACTTATTTATTCATTTATCTTTCTGCTGATTTTGCTGTTGGCACATTTATTCAATGCTGAAGTCTTTTAGGCTGAAGCCTCAACAGAAAATAAAAAAAGTTTTGGCTTTGTTCATTGGAGTCCAGCATTTGATTCTTTTGATATTCTTTTTATTTATTTTATTTTATTTCTTTTTATGTATTCTGTTTTATTACTTCTTCTATTTTATTTAATTTATTTATTTTATTTATTTTACTTCTCCTACAATTCAAAATGGGTCCGTTCCCGGTTCTTTAGCGCCCGCACGCTTCGAGCCAACTGCGCATACCCCCGTTGCTGCAGCAGCAGCTGCTGCTGCTGCAGCAGCTGCTGCTGCTGCTGCAGTCGCTGCAGCAGCAGCAGCTGCTGCTGCTGCAGAGAGGCCGACAGTGGGGTGCATC